ATAACTATTTTATTTGGTACAACTGAATGAGGTATCCAGTAAGTATAGATAGGAGGATTATGACTTTAGCACAGGGGTGTCCAAACTACGGCCCGGGGGCCAAATGCGGTCCATGGACCATTTTGAAGCAGCCCTCAGCATATTAAAAAAGTATAATAATATATGGCCCAAAAATGAAACTTCTGCTTGTCTTATATTGTACTTCTTAAATATATATGTTCTAATATTTTACACAGTATTCATGTGTTGATTGGCCCCATTTTCAAATAATTCAGTCAATTAAAGTTGGAAACATTTTCGAACAAATCTAAGTTGATAAGAAAAAAGTCCAATAACTTATTTCCATAACAACCTTGAAATAAACCCTTCATATGTCCTCTTATGATAAGCAATATGAGGCTTCTGTTGTAAGGAATGAGCTGCCAAAACAATAACTGAAACCCTCTGGAAAGCTGTGGTGTACGCTTTTTTTCTTAAGCATTCACAAGTATCAAGAATAATTGATCTACATTGGATTGATTTTTCCAAAGTATAACTTAACTAAGGCAATATACCTCTCCTCTAGCGAGTGGCCCATCCCTTGGAATGTTTTTCTGTATGTGGCCCTTGGTGAAAAAAGTTTGGACACTACTGCTTTAGCATATGCTGTCATGTAAGGAACGTTGTTTTTGGCCACAAGGGGGCAGCGGAACAAAAAGAAAAAGACAACATTTACATTTAATCAACAAAAAGTTGATACGTGTAATGTACATGTATTGTCTCCACCTGTTATTAAAATAGTTGCCAACACAATCAGCAGACATGAAGCAACATTAGCTTTGGAAATCAGGTAGATGAGGGTGCTGACACTCAACCAACAGTAAAGTAGCTAGCCTAAACAATTAGCGTAAAGACACTAAAATGCTACATGTTTCTGAGGGCAAGAAGTACAAGATGGGTAACACTTGACAATTAACCTACTTTTTATTTAATTAAATCATTGATTAGTACGGCTTTATGTCAAAATCACCATCAATATATAGTATCTCCAAAGTACACGTTTTCATCGATTTAAATTCAACTGTATTATTGTCACTAAGGTCAGAAAAAGAAGACTTGGTTGATCTACAAAACGTACTGGCAAAGCTAATATTGATCTTCTCAGAACAGTCAGCAATACGATATTGATTTGGTCTGTGCTCCATACACATTACAAAGGGCTCCCAACTGCCTTTTTGAGAAAACTTTATTACAAGAAAAATTGATCGAATATACTTCTATATTCATTGTTTTTACCTTTTGAATGTGGTGCAACTTGGTCAAAGAAAAAATAGTCTGCTTTGCTTTTTCTGTAGGAGTGACGGACGTGTGTGCAGCTCTCAACTGATGATTAGAGCGGAGTGAAGGACGGAGGGGGTCAGTTGGATCTTATTTATCAGTGTCTCCACTCAGTCACTGTCAAAGTCACCTTTAATGGCCTCCAATCTGCGTCCATGTCCCCCCTGTGCCCAAAGTCTCTCTTTCTCTCTCCCTGTTCCCCTCCACTGATGACTGACAGCACCGCTAATGTAGTAACAGCCGGGTACAGCACGGGAAGGGGACTTAGAGAGAGGGTCTGTGGCAAAAGCTCAGCAGCCAATCTCCTCCCAGCTTGACTGCAGCATACACGCCAGATGGGCCTTTGAAGGCAGAGAGAGACTACCACCGCATTGAGCTGTCTGTAGCAGGGCAATATAAGTGTTTTGTTTAAATGCCCATGTTCAAATGCTAAGTCCTGATTAGGTTTTCAACTTGTCCTTCACCTTTCTCAGTGATTTGGGGTCAAGTAGCTCAATAGGACAGTGTTTGTACAGCTGGTGGTCCAAAGTGAATGTGAAACTAAATAAAGTGGCAACCATTTTTCCAAAAGACTGCTTGTACTGATATCATGAATTTAAATGGATTTGGAGGCATGGCAAGCCTTCGCTACAGTTAACAATACTATATTCAACGTTTTTATATGGTATTTAAAAAGATCCTTTTGGTTTGCGAGTTCTTGTGTTTTTGCAAAGTAGTTGGTTATTGGAATTTGAGCAATAAGGAAATGTCTCACTTGGTGTTGAATTAACTGTTTAAAGGAGGTTATGTAGCGGCCAAAATCATATAGAACTAAAACAGATAATTAACTTAAAATAATACAGCCGCTGAGGCACTAGTTAGCGGAATACGCAGGGCAATGATCCAGGTCCAGACCAGATTATCCGTTGTGCATTTTATTCCTATAACAAAATACAATGAACAGGTTTCCTATATCTCTTTCCTTAAGCCTTTCCTATGGCTTTCCCTTGTGTGGCTTGAAACACCCTGGTAAAAAACATTTGCCTACTACAGTAGTGCTCTGGCCGCTACAGGTTATGAGAAGTTTTACTGAAGAAAATGTCATGCTATGTGTTATCTGTCCAACCTATTAACGTCCGGAGACACATTTCCAGGTTTGTAGGATTTTCAGATTTTGTACAACCACAGAAACGATCAAATTACTTTCATATTTAATTTGCTTGTATTTGGAGCTTCTTGTTCTGAAGGAACAAAAAGGCAGAGCGATAATTATTGAAAGACACCTGCTTCACAACATTTACTGTGACTAAAATGAAAGAACAGCTGTGATTAAAGAAGATGTTACCATGCCTATTAAGAGGAAAATTTGAGATATAGTGATAAAGTAAAAAAAAGTTAAAAGAAAGGAGCGTTCAATGTCAGTCGCAAGTCCCTACGTCACATGTACTGGTGTGAAAGAGGATTTCCTTGAGCATTAAATACGCTTCTTAGAAATATACAAGATTGTAAGGAGGTACTTTGTTTGGATCTGTGTGCCAACCCATTTGAGTTTGGTATAAAAGACTGCATAAAAATACATAAGGAGCAAGCACTTAAAGCTTTGCATCCCTGTTGTGGATTACAGTTCATGACCATTTTTATTTAGCACCATCTGTTACATTGTATCTCATAGTACAGCGACATTTCCAGCACAAATTAATTTGTATTAGTGTGACGGCGTCCAAATGACACTGAAACAAATTAACACAACGAGCATATGCGCATTAAATCGCAAACAGCTCAATCTCACTCTTGACACTGCCACTTCAGCTGGCTGCAGTCTCCCTCCCCTAATTGGAGTAAACAGGAATCCGACTCATCTCCTCCTCTTCCCTCACAAAAGGTTATGTGAAATCATCAGCAAGAACATGAGCGAAGCAAGAGGAGAAGAAAGATGTAGGAGAGTGGCTGACAATAATGTCTCCATCTCTTCTTTTAGTGGTTCAGAAGTAGTGGTCTACTAATAAAAAGGTGCCTTGCTAACAGTTCACAAACATCAGTCATCTAACCTTCTCACAGCTGCTTACTAACAGTGAAATCTCCAGACAAATGTATCTAAAGCCACTGGGGTCACCTCGGAATAAGAGGACTTGGAAGAAGATTCAGTCAAACAAAAAGGGGGTGTCAAGAAAAAAAACTCATTTACTGCTAGAATACTTTCTATGTTCTGTTCAGTGGATCGGTTATCACACTGAGGGAATTTAAGTGGCAATTGACTCTGATGGAGGAAATGTAACCTTGTTGTTGCACCCCTATTACACAAAGTCAATATTTTCATTTCATCTGAGGCCCTTTGCCGGAGCGGCTGAGAAACAGCATTCTGCGTCTTCACAAACAATTTGCACTGGAGCAAAATGAAGCATGAATTCTACTCCCACACTACACGTCTGCCAGGTATTGGCACAAACTAGGGTGTGATCATTTTTCACATTATCCTGCAATGGTAAAGTGGATTACATGCGTTTTCACTGCATTGCAAATTGTTGTTCCACTACTTATGCTTTTCAATCTGACAATCCCTCAATTAGGGTGACGATTGATAAATCGATTAATATTTTAGTTTAAATATATTTAGCCATAAAACAACTTAAACAATGAGAAGTCAGGCTCACTTAAGGTGGGATGAACTTTAAGGTGGATGAGCTATTTTCCTTTTGGTGGCAAGCTGCTCAGAAACTTGACCAACAACCATTACCTCCAACAACAGGAGGTGATAGTCCATTCATGACATAGTTATATCATATCTATGTTTTGTGTGAGTTAATATTAAAAGTCAGCTATCATGCAATTTTTAGGCAATAGCATAGGTCTCAGATATATAAAATGTATAAAAAACATGTCTTTGAAGTGTTTTGCTCAAAATACCAACCAGATCACCCATTCTAGCCATGCCTCATATCCTTCTATATCACTTCCTGTTACTAAAGTGCTGATTCGGGGTATGAATAAAAAATAAAAGAGGGGGCGGAACTTACGCCTGCTCATGCGGGACCCGGCAGATACTGTCTAAAATAAATGCTGCGGTGATGAAATGTCAAAACCACATGAAGGATTATTTCTGAAACATTATGGAGCTCAAAGGCTTTTTCTCTTGCCGGTTTACCACAAGGTGAGTTCCTTTTTATTTCCTGCTTCTTCACACATGTGCTCTCTCCAGTACAGGTTAGCTGTGAGTGTTAGCGATGCTTGCTAATGTAAACACCGACCATATTACGTCCAAAACACGTCAGGCATTGATTCTGATTGTGAGTCTCTGATAGGGCCGTGGGTCCACCACGTGGGTGCCATCTGATATGACGTAAATAACGTCATATTGGATGGCAAATCTGGATCAGCTCGTTGTAGCCCCGTTTTCAGAGATATGCGCAAGGAGTAAAAGAGAGAGGGTTTTATTTTCTGACACTTTGTGAGTTCATTGACACGCCGGGAACACATATTTATGTATAAAAGACATCAAAAAGTGCATTTTGCATGATACAGTAGGTCCCTTTTAAAGTAATTGATTCTGTTGAGTGACTTAAAGGGGCATAATGCAAAGTATTGACAAAGTTTGATGTTATACATTTCCCCCAACCTGTATCCAACAACTATTGCGTCATTGATGAGTCTCACTTTCTTTAGCTCCCCTTGCCCTCTAATGCAAACAAATGTCTGGTTTCTTGTACCTGTGCGTCCACGAGGAGGTGCCTCATCAGCGTCATGGACTTCTGCAGCGGCTCCTTCTCAGGAGGAGCGAACACAGGCTGGTCCGGCTCCACAGGCTTGGGTCCAGTCACAATGAAGCTTGCAATCTGGTCATTAATGCTGTTCAGAGACTGCACGGCTAGAAGGGGACACACACAACAAAAGCCAGTTATCATTCAGAGCATTTGGATTTTGACATGATTAAACATCAGTCATTAATCTGTAGAATTTAACTGGCATTACAAAAGACGGTTAAAAAACTGAAATTATAGCTTTTTTTGATGGTGTTGCTATCAGTGCAGGCAGGCTGAAGAAGTGCATCATAAAATGCTTTAAATACCAGAGCACCATTAAAAACACACACACGCGCACACACACACACACACACACACACACACACACAGTCATATCTCTTCTTCCTTTGTGGATGTATTGGCTCTCTCTGAGCAGGAACAGCGAAGATAACATTGGGAGAACGAGGTTTCCGACTGTCACACTGATTTCTCTGTCAACGCCCTTTCTGGTCCAGAATGTTCCGTGTCGGCCTGAGAGCCATCCTGTTTTTGTTTCCCTGCTCTTGCCCTTGTGTGTCCCTGGCAAACCTCTCCTTTCAGGTTTCCTCTCCGGGCTTCCACATTAAAAAATAGCTAGCCCCACTGTATTTCCTCCTTCTCACACTCACACACACTTCCTCAATCCATTTACCATTAATCCCCCTTAGCCTCTGAAAGGTCACCACAACTATTTCCGAGGCCACCCACATGGCGGAAAAGGAAAGAGTGTGAGAAAACGCAATTTCCATATTTCTGTGCCTTTTTAGCATAAATATCTCTGTTGTATTTTTCATGAGCGGCTACACTAACTCCCAATGTGTCATTATCCATCTCTCCAGTGTTTAAACTTTGCTAAAATGTCACACTTACAGACAGTATAAAGGGAGTCAAAGGTGCCGTGATGAAGAGGCCACCTGATACAGACTCTAAAACATTAAATCTCATGTTCTGCTGAAGCAATGCCCTGGCACATTTCCGGCAAATTAAAATATATCCAACCTGCTAAATCCATACTGAGTAAAATGAGTTTAGGCCAATAATCTGGATAGGGTCTTTTCAGGATGTAAATATAAAGCCTCTTTCACACACAAAAGCCCACGCAGAAAAAAAGAGCAAGAGCATAGATTAATGCGTTACATAACCAAAAAAAAAATCTTTCACCGTGGCTGACATTTCCAAGCTAACAAGCTTTGAGGAGGAAATTTGACAAGTCGGCACCGAAGGCGGCAGAGATAAGAGGGGAAAGAGGGGGGGGCAGAGCGTGTCCCCTGGCGGTGAGATTGGAGCAGCCGTCAGATGTTTGAATACGTGAGCGCCGGGTTCAGACACTCCAGCCACCTCTCTCATACAGCGCATCACATCAAGCACTACAGTAAGCTGGGGTTTGTTCCGACATGTTTATGTGGTGGATTCCAAAAGGCAAAAGGTCACATGTTCTCTTCCTGCTACCTTCCTGCATAATGTACCTGAAGTGGTAACCACACAAGTGCACATCAGCAGCACTGTGTGAACCCTTTTCGCCGCTTCCCTAAAGCTTTGGCAGATGTTAGTTCAGACGCTGACTCTTAGTGCCCTCTACTGTCCAAAAAAATAACATGCAGGCCCTTCTGAATAACAAATTGTCATTTTAATCATGGGTTTTTGATAATTCTCCCTTCTTGTGTTTTTAAATGGGGTTGCCAAAACATAAGACACCTACAGCTGAAACAATTAGTCTATTAATCAATAAGTTGATCAACAGAAAAATAAATCGGCATCTCTTAAAGACATGTTTTAAGGATAAATACCAAAAGTGCATCTCACTTCTGAAATGTAAATATTTGCTTCTCCAATATCCCCTTTCAAAATGTTATTCTAGTCAAGCAAAATAAGAGTTTTAAAGACCTCCTCTTGATCTTTGCGAAACGGAGATGGCATTGTTCATGCTCTTGACATTTTTAGAGACCAAACAATGAAGGAAATATTCAAGAAAGTAATCGGAAACTGTAGCCCCAATCTCAATATTACACAGTCCAGTTCAAAAGCACGGTAAACCTTAAGCTCAATAACATAAATGGTAAAATAACCCCCTCTCTGACAGAGTCAATTCAATAAATATTAATTACATAGAATATGTAAACATCATTAATAAGATTAAAATGCAGGGCCATTGATTATGAAAGACACACACACACACACACAATATATTCTTCTTCGAATATTGACTGTCCAGTTGCAAAAATCGTAATCATTGCGCATTCACATTAACAAAAAGCAATCAAATACATCACGCATCTTTTCTCAGACAAACTATGAACCTGCGCGAGACACATCCCCGTGTCTCAGCAGTCTCCTTGTGCAAACTGAAATAGATTCTCCCCACAGCTCGCCTTCAGCAAACATAAAATCTGAGAGGCAGGGATGAATGTGCTAAAAAAACAGAAAGCTAAAATTGCAGTAGTTAGGTAACAATAGTTGCAACAACAAAAAAATTGAATTCTTGCTGAGCCCTCCACTGTTACTTCACTTTGTCTTCTTTCTGTCATTGTTTTTCTTTCCATGGGTGTCTCGCCTGCATAGACACATTACAAAGTGCCTCACAAGTCCTCCTATGGAGCTGAACAACGAGGATGAGAGGCCACAGAGACGCCCTGTCAGGCTTTATCTGCTCTTAAGGGACAATTTTGGGTACCAGCCGAAATAAGATCACTACCGATGAAACATTTATGAAAAAATGTATGCAGTAAACCTAATAGAATAGGGTGCAGAAAGTCAGGCTTATGTCGAGATAAAAGGGGCTTATTTCATGGGAATTCTTCACAGCACACATGAAATCTTGGAGAAATGTCACGAAATATGGTAGGTGACGAGCCAAAATTCAGTTCTGAGGGTTCTGATGTCAGACTTGCATTTGCTACTATTCACTGAGCTGTGAAAGGATCCATAGAGTTCTTTATTGAACTTGGGGGAGCCAACTTCTTCTTCGCTATCGAAAACTGTCACTTTGCAACTCTGCATATAAAGTGATGGCGTAATGTTCAATCATGTGCAGTTGTGTAATTCTACCAATTGTAATCCCTGTTTTAGAACATAGTCGGTATTTCACTTCAGAATGTGAATAACATTATCATAAAGTCCCTATTTTCATGTATTATTTAGAATTTGATTCTGGCACTAATTCACCTATGGGCCAAGTGGATGGGAAAGAACAGTGTTGAGGTATCAAAGCTCCAGCAGCATTTGAAGTTCTGAGGGGTTGATGGAGCTCTGATAAAGTCAGATAAAACAGTCTGAAGTCAGTGAGGACAATTGATAGGCCAGGTGATGAATAATGGTTGGGATGAGTATTGGACCTCTTCAAAAACCAAAATGTTACTGAAAAAACATCAAACTGACATTACTGTATGCTTTCTCGATGATGTATAGTTTTTTTATGTATTTTTTTTAAATCAACATTATGTAATGATACTCAGATTGCATTAATGTATCTATGCCACATTATTGGGTTGATTTCAGGCGGGACTAGGGCTGAACGATTAATCGATTTTAAATCAAAATTGGGATTTTAAATGATGTAATTATCAAATCGCAAAGCCTTCGATTTTTTTTTATTTTTTTTTCTTCTTGTGTGTCAGTCATCCACACCAATCAGCTGTGCTCCACATGTACCAGTCATTGTTAACCAATCACAAGTGGCCCATGATAGTAGGTGATAGACAGATTGATCCAGTCACCTGCCAAGTATTTTTGAAATACTTTTCCAAATGGCTTCCAATGGAGCTTTCCTAGATGGTTTGGTGAAACAAACCATCTGAATCAGGTTAGTAATGCTCCATCACCTGTTTTACATCTATTACAGGGTGAATCTTAAACTGAAGCTTGACTTTAAAGCAACCCAACGGAAGTTTCATGTAAGTTTAGTTCTTTCACTCGTAGCTCGGGCTGCGGGGGTGCTAGAGACGGGAGCACGTTGATATGACCTTCCTAACCGGAGATATGGCCGCATTTTACAATAAACTTCCGTTGGGTCACTTAAAAACAAATATCGCAAATTGAATCGCAATCGCAATATCTGTCAGAAAAATCGCAATTAGATTATTTCCCCAAATCGTGCAGCCCTAGGCGGGACTACTCCTTTTGGGGTAATATTAGTGCAACTAGTTCCTCTCGTGCTTCACAGGAAGCAATGCATGTGGTTTAGTGTGCGCATTATTGAGCACAGTCTGCACCTCTAAAACAATCTTAACATTATTGTTATTTAAGGCAAACTCTAGTCTCTGAATTACTGCAACAAAAACGGTGTAAGAAACTGTAAAACAAAAAAAAGTGATGATAACATCTAACTTGACAAAGACTGAAGCTGTTGCAGGCCCATGAATGAAGAAAAGAAGACAGGAAAGAAACATATAAATCAAATATTTATCAATGATAATCAAATGATGCGAATTAAAACTGACTACGGATGAGTTTAAAAAGAATCAGACATCATAAGTAAACGTATGCCATAGATGTTGACTGAGGAGATGCAGCATCCAAAGCCTCTTGACAGATTGAATGGCCTATAGTGCTATACAACACTGCCCCCTAATGGCCTATTGTTCATCTGAATGCCTGTGAACTGAAGTAGTCCGAGTTTGTTTACAGCACACGCATTTGAATTAAATACTCTGTGAAATCTTAAAAGATAAAGAGAACCAACCAATCATTACATGTATATCTAGTATGAGTCTGTCAGAGTGATAATATATGACCTGATGTGATGTTTAACACTTATAAGAGGATTCTTTCAGCATATTATATCGCCTTAGATGATGTTATAACGGCTCAGCACTTGATGTGTGATCACATGATGTTCGACGTGGGTTTTGAGAGTCAAGACTTGTGAGCCATCAAAAGAAAACCTTCACTGAAGAACAGACCTCACGCACCACTGATCATGGAAATTGCTACTATACCCGATTAAGACTTTTGTCGACCGTTATAGACATGTTGATTTGAGCTAATCTTAACTTGACCACCTGGCATCAAGGTTACCGTTAAAGAAATTAAGAAGCGCATGCTGACAGTCCAATTATTACATTTATACAACCGATTAATTGTTTCAGAC